GGACGGCTAGCGCAGATAGCCCTCGTGTAGCTTTGCGCGAAATTCAACAAAAACAAACAAACAAACACGATAAGCAGGCCAGCCGACAGGGGGTGGGGAGGAGCAAAAGTGGCAACTGCCCAAGAGCCTTGGCGAATGCATCTTGGTTATGCCGTAAAGCCCGCAAAGCATCTTTAAGCTATATCTTCATTTAATTATAAAAAACATAGTTTTTGGCTTTTCTTTACATAAAGACGCTTCATACATTAGAAATAATTGAAATAATAATTTGAGTATTAATTAATATATATATTTGTTACTTTATAAATTTAATAGATATTTCTTGTTACTTTATCAACGTTTTTACTCTTATACTGTGAGCTAAAAACGACTGCTGCTATAATTTTGTCTGGTTTATGAGCTCGTTGCTGTCCTAATTTAGGATTTTCTTTTTAACAAGTTCTTTCAAATGTTAAAAAAAGAGAATGAAAGGCAGCCCGGCGAGGATGTTTGCCCTGGGGCTCATGCTGGCTCTCGATGCTTCTTACGATAAGGTATTCTTATTCCTTTTAAAGGCAAACATAATCTTCTTAATTATCGAATTTAAAATCCCAACGGACATGTTTTATCTTGGATATACTTCCATGTCACAAAATAATCGTTTAGAAATATTTTCCAAACTCTTTATGTAAACTTCAAAATTTTCTCCAGAATAATTACGTAATATATTAAATAATTATACTTTAAAAAGTGTTATAATCACTTCTTGTTTTCAACAATATTTCGCTAATATATTTCGATGTATAAACCTTTGGAAGTACATAAAAATACAAAACTTCTGAATGATAAGAAATAAAATATTTTTATCGATCTGATATTGACTTCTGGGCCCGGCATGGCCAGGTGGTTAGGGCGCTCGACTCGCAATCTGAGGGTCGCGGGTTCGAATCCCCGTCCCACCAAACATGCTCGCCCTTTCAGCCGTGGGGGCCTTATAATGTGACGGTCAATCCCACTGTTCGTTGGTAAAAGAGTAGCCCAAGAGCTGGCGGTGGGTGGTGATGACTCGCTGCCTTCCTTTTGTGCAGATAGCCCCTTTGTGCGAAATTCAAAACAAACAAACAATCTTGACTTCTTCAACAAAATTAATTAATTTTTCTATATTGAAGTTTAAGCATCTCAAGTTGTTTAAATCTCCCATTCTTTCTTAAGCCCTTATATCACTTAAATGCCCATACACTATCTGGTTATAAAACTGTTGGGCCATAGTTTATCTTTATCCACTTGATGAAAAAATCCAATTAAGATTTCCAAGTTTCTTAAGTGATCTCCGTTTCTTTAAATATAGACTATCTTCTCCTTGTTTTTCAGTAACAGAATATAATTCAGTTTCTTTACAAGTTCACGGTAGTTCAAGATGTATCCTTTTTATGGGGTCAAAATACGATTTTACTTTTATTAAGCATTCATATTTATTTGAAACGTTATGAAGACATTCTCTAAGCCTTAATTTCCTAGTAAATTACTTATCTTCTGCCAATTGTACTTTATTAATTTATTAACTTTTGTTAATAATCGTATATCATTTTCTTCTAAATTATTTACTGTTAATTTAACAATTTTCAAAAGCAAATACTGATCCTGGTTATCTAGAATTTTTTGGAATTCTATCGTATTCTTTCCAAATCATAGGATATTTGTAAAATCTCTCTCTTCTCCCTCCATGCCTTATTTCTTCCATCTTATTGAATTTTCTCTGTATAAACATTTCATTTTTTGGTCCTTGTAGCTTTATTTCCTATAGCAACACCTGTTGGATTCAATCTAGTGTTGTTACTGTATCTGTCATTTTTTCTCTGTTTTCTTGTATTGTAGTATGAATTTCTTCCTCCTTTCCTGTTAAAGCGTCTGGAAAATCTTTCCTACATTGTAATAATTCTTCTTCTCTCTCTATGGAGTTTCTTTATCCTTCTTTAATTATTCTACAAACCACACTTCTTTTTGTTTCCATTATCATCACTTTCTCTCTCTTCCATTCTATGCAAGTCATTCCAATATTCTTCTTTACATTTATCTCTTTCTATTGTTTTAATCACACAAAATATAGTCAGTTTTTTTTTCTGTTTTCATCTACTCTTTCATGTAGATCATATTTTTTCTCTCAGAATATCTCCTTATATGTTCTTGATCACAACTTTTAGTCATGCATTCCCTTAATTCTTCTTCCATTTATTAAAAGTTCTTAATTTCTCTAAGAAATTCTCAAATATTTTGTCCGCTTTTGTAATTGAAATTCTAATAGTTAATTTCTTCTAACTCTTTGGAGGCATCCTCTCAACTAATCCTATCTATAAATATATGTGTGTGTGTCAAGAAGCTATATTCATCAAATTGCTGAAGTTCTCAGATAAAGATAGGAATAAATGTTGAAAAAACAAATATACATTTGAATATATTTTAACTCTTTGTGCTGTGATCCATTCAGTATTCAGGTAATATATTTATTAAATTTTTACTTTTGTTTCCATGAGCTTTCACAGACATTTATGAAAGTTTTGTAACATTTTCAAAGATATTTGATTTAAGGACTTGAATGACACTGATTCTTTATAAGTATGTTGTTTCTTTGATTAATAAAAAAATGTTTATTCTAAAATATTTCCGATTTCATGTATGCAAAGTACATAGATACCAAAATCTAGGTTTATAAAGCAAGAATAAAAGTAAGGATTGACTTATCATTTGAAATAAAAGAATTTGCAGTTATTATTGCAAATCTCCTCTTATAAAAACTGTGGATAAACAATGTTAGCTGTTATTTAAAATGAAATGCTGATAATTAATTCTGGTAATCATGTTTTTTTTGTTTTTTTTTAAGAAAATGTATATACTTTTCCTTCTCAGAAAACCATCCCAGAAGAATGAGCAGACGTGTATCAACCTGGAATCCCCTCAAGTTGAAATGCAAAGTCCCTCTGTGTGGAATACATCCAATGAAAGAGGCCCCAAGACTAAAGAAGACTGTCTTACTGACACTTCCAAGTGGTCTTTAACTAACAAACTTGAAAACAATTCCACGGAAATCCTTGTTACCTGAATAGGAATAGCGTGGATAAAAACAAAAAACAAAGACTCATAAGTTTAAGATTTCTTGTAAAAATATCATCATTATAAGAACAAGGCGTGAACGAAAATTACAACTTCGGCAATATATAATCATGTATTCAGGAACATCAATGTATATCTGTATGCCCCTGAAGAAAAAAGGCCCACCTTTCGAAAGCGCTCGGGTTATAGGGTTTTTATTCATATATATATATATATATATATATTCGTTCATATACTCTTATTATTATAATATTAATAAATAAACTTCAGTTTGTATTTATAAGTTTTTGTTTCATGAGTTTTAAGGTATATTTGTATAAGTAATTATGTCATTAAATCACATAACAAGAAACCCCAAAATCCGAACACTTTCTGAAAGTATACATTTCTTTTTTACCCCTGAAGAAAGGAGATTTACCTTCCAAAAGCGCTCTGGTGATTTATTTTAATTTCTAAATCACACATGTCAACTATATTACATTCTAAGTGGTCCATGACCTTTGTGTGAGGCTCCTATTTTGATGTATTACACTGCGTGGTCACAAGTAAATATACACCACCTTTTCAGAAAAAAAATGAAAATTTTCACTCATATTCGCATGAATTTATATATTTATAATTTAATTAATATCTAGTAGATCTTTCTTTCACTTCGTGGAGTTCGTTGATCCTTTGGGGCATCGTG